GAGCATTCTCGGGCTTCTGGGCGACGAACAAGACGATCCGGATCTATATCCTGTGATTTTTCCTGGCGACTCATTTGATCAAATCAAGAAGGAGGGCCCACCGAAGCCCGGTGACCCTCGTCTTAGTATCGATACCTCTGCTTATACTCCCTCACCGACCAGCAGCAATGTCTCGATCAACTCGCCCTGCCATCCTCCACAGCTTCAGCAGAATGTACCCTTTTATGACTCTGGCTACCAGGGATCAAGAGGCAATTCAAGGGACAATTCGCGACCGAGTTCTGAATTTTCCGGAGACAAGGTGATTCTGAAGCATCCAGTCAAAGTACAGAGAATCTCCGGAGGTTCGAATTTGCCCATGGGCTACATCGAAGCCGTGGATATTGATCCCACCTACAGACCACCTGCGGAACGTCCTCCAAAGCCGAGTAAGTCGAGTGCGAGATCTTGTATTGGGGCCAAAGTACTGACGCAGTCTAGTTGCATGTTTCTACATTCGCTTCCCGCGAAGCATCCAAAATGGCGATGACTATTACCGTGCCGTCTATCTGACTGAACGAACCGTTCGTGATTTGATGGAAAAGATTTCGAGGAAGCAGAAGATCGACCCGCAGCGTATAGTACGCGTTCTGCACGTTAAGGAAAATGGCCTCAAGATCATGGTTGATGACGACGTCATCCGTGAGCTGCCTGATGGCCAAGATATGGTTGTCGAGATCTCAGAAGCCTCAGCATTCGACAACGCAGTGGCAAACAGTTCTGAACACCTGAACCCTCCGGTGGAGGTCAAATTGAGCTACTAATGCCATCAGAGCCGGTTTCAATATGCGCGGTGTTGCAGAAATTTGTCTGCTCAAAGACTCTTCATCTTTAACAGCCAAGCAAAGCCGAAAAAAGCGAGAAAAAAAAAACGCTAACTCAACTTTCATCATGATAAGCAAGATTTCATTCCGGTTCAGTAACTTATCTTATTTGGCGCCTGGGGCAAAGACATGAATTCTTTGCATGCATATCTAACTAGTTCTGCAGTGTCTTTGCTCTTCTCTTTGTGTTGCTTTTCCTTTGTGATTGCGGGCTTGGTTTGCCGGTTGACTTTTTCTTTCTTTTTTTCTGATCTCATTCGGGGCGTTGATTGCGGGGATAATAAACGAGTTCCCGGGCAATGATACCCTGTCGCAATATGATTGTTTCATCGATTTTATTTGATTTTGTCGATTTCGTCTATCTTGATCTTTCCTCCATTCCTGTGCCATATCTTTCTCATGACCCTTACCCCTTCTCCTTAAAATTTACCATTTTTCTTTGGGAATGTTACACGTGCAATTGCTCATCAGCCTATTAGCCTGTGAGGTTTCCTGCTACAATTTCCTTTGGTTGGGGAACAACGCATACGAGATAGATACCCTGTGCCACTCTGCTGTTTTTTTTTGCTTGCTTTTCTATTATTTCTCTAATCTTGCAAAGTATTATGTGGTTTTTCGAGTCTTGAATGAGCATTGCCTCTGTCAGTCTGACTCTGATACTGTTGTGATACAATTCGCCATCATCATCATCATCATCATCATCATCATCAAAGGCTGGTCTGTCATCGGTCCTCTCCTCATTTTGTTGAAGAACTCGGAAACCGCTATTCAGGGTACGCTGTGTTAGATTCGAAAAAACACTGCAAACCGCTCTTTTACATGGAAAGATGCCTGAGATGGATCTTTCTGCTTCATGTTAGTACATACAGCATAGGTATAGAATATACGATCACCTTTGCTGGCTGAGATACAAAATTCAAGAGATATCCATAATTTTAGAATGCCGTGGGTGATGCGACCAAAATCCGCGAACAGTAATTACGTCATTGTTGTGGACGCTAGTGGAAAGCGCAGTATGGAGTCAAAAGGTACGGAGTAGGTATGTGCACAATCAAAAAAGCATGTCAAATTGTCAATACTGTCGAGTCCCTCAAACCTCGGACCCATCAGTCGGGATTCTGGAACTACGGACACTGGGAAATATGGAGTACGGAGTATCGGTGAGTAGAATATCAACTACTAACAGCATATGCAAGCTGATGCGCATGCCGGCCTGCCAAGCTACCCAGTACTAGTACTGAGTACTGACTCGGGGTTGCGCGCGCCGCGATTGATTTCAGGACCCACCCAAGCACAGTCTAATGGTCTTGGGCTGTGAGTGGCTGGGCCCTTTGCCCATCTGTTAAAAGCCAGAACACAAATTTTAATTACAGTTTGCGTAAGATCGGCAGTATGAGACTCGTATTCAGCATTTTATTTACAGTACGGAGTCCTAGGCACTTTCAGGACGAAACAAGAGTAATGTAAAAAAGCCCAACAACACCAGAGCTGCAGATGAGACATGGTCAGTCCAGTCTCCCTCCTAAATACCAGGCCTGGTGAGTGACTTCCTCTGCTGTTGTCCTATTTCCGCACTCATCTCAAACTGATTTGAGTTGTCGTCAACGAAAGACCTGTAATGCTCTGTTTTTACTGGTGGGGAGCCCGCATTGTCTCGACCCAAATCGCCCTGACCGTAACGGATTTGGTGGGCATTCCAGTTGACTCGGCCCCCGTTGTCGGTCGCTTATGGTACTCCACAGTGACTAGTGCCACACCCGTGACCCGCTTCCATCCTCTACAGGTACGAGCGTACAATAGTAGGAGAGAAAAAGTCGAGTCGCTCATTACTCATTAAGGTTTTTATTAGACACTTGCCTAATGAGGCAGTAGACAGACTCTGGTCCTCCAATGACATTGTTGGTTAATCATTTTTGGGCTTGGTGGCTGGTGCATCGGCTCCCTGCAAAGCCGAACTGGTATTACGTCATGGCTTAGAGGTTGAGCTCGGTAATTTTGATATTTTCATATCAATGCTGTTCATGGGGGAAACTGAGATGATATTCGAGTTTCGACTAAACCGTGTGTAGCGAAATCCCAAGAGGGGGCAATTTCTAGTATGCACAGCAACGTTGCACAATGCCGGGAACTAGTGGGAAATGTAGTCGCCCATATTAATTGCGGATGACCCAGATTCCTGAGTTCCAGATATGCGTAATCCATGGCTGGACTAGTGGTTGTGCTTTGTGTTTTGACTTTTGTTGTTAGGTCTCTTTCGATGGGATATTCTTCAACCAATCAATAGATTACTAGGATCTTGGCATCCCTGCCGATCTACGCGTTGATGTTGGAGTTATCTTATTTTTTTTTTTTTGCTTTATGTATTGGGAAGAGGATTCCTGATATTTTCGCGATGTGGTTTCTTCTCACCATCATCTAATACAGTTGATTTCCATAATTTCTGTCTTTTTGAACTTGCCTATAGATAAGAAAGTGTTTGCGAAGGGAGGGTGAGCCGAAACCTGCCAGAAAGCAGAGGAGGAGATGCTGCCGCCTGTTGCGCCAACTCTCTCCTGTCTATGAAGTTGACGTCAGTCTTTTCATTAGTCTAGAAACGGCTGTACCTCCGACCTTGATATGATGTCATTAAATTCTTTTGCTTTCTTTAGGCAATGGATACCTCCACGCGGGTCGTGCCGATGTGGAGTCTGCCAGGGAAATCGACCATGGTATGAGAGTCTGGCCCAAGAGTCACTCACTCAATCCTTAAGAGAAAATAAAATACACTCAAAAAATACTGTTTATTACTGTACGCCGCAGACGTTTCAGGCCCGACAGGTCAGTATTTCTGTACAGGGTAAATTTGAGGTTATACCATTGCGAGTGTCTACTGAACCCAGGACAGGGCTGCTGCTATCCAGGTGGTTCATCAAATCATGGACATCAAGAGATGTGGTTCTGTTGTTATGAGAACTCAATAGGTTCTGATTGCGTTATTCATAAGTTACACATCTGTAGATGAGCACCTGCTTAATATTAGTTGCTTGTATAGGCCAACACTTTGCACAACATTAAGCGTAGCTACCTCTGTAAGTCGTTAGTATACCAGTGAATTGTTGGTAGTATACCAAGGTCTGTCTGAGTTACTCGAAAAATGCCCTCTGTCAGTCTTTTTCTAAACAGCATGGTGATGAGCAGGGCAATTATGCTTATTTCTAGCGCCTGACCGCTGGGAGATCCGATCAACGCCTGCAGTCTTTGCCATATTAGATAAAGCGGAGTGGCAAATAATGAAAGCTTAAGTCTTGACTATGCTGTTTTGATGAGCTTTACGGTCACGTTTCAGGGCACAAGGAGAGATCTGAACTGAGTATGAGCTGATTATCAACCGTTTCGAGATGTCTCATAGCGATTTCTAAGATTGATTGGTAAGATCCATAAGTTTGAGGTAGACCTATCCTCGAGTGGTATCCTTGAGAGTCAGATACTACCTTATTGATATCCGCTGGTTACGGTTGGTTGTTCCACACTCCTACGGATGAGAAATCCGTGAGCACGCCAATGGTGCATAAAATAGTCATTGATAGGAACCGAATCGCTTTATCAGATCAGTCAGTCGATCAGTTCCACTAGGCTCACCATACATGGTTTTCGAATCGCGTAAGGATAAACATAATCAGCTACCCTTTGTCGAGACGACAAAGGGGACATGCCTATATCATTATCAGAGGCATTGAGCCTTGACACAACAGGCTACGCAGATTAGTTAGAGCAGATTGGGGGAAAGCTGCCGTACTCCAAGTCCGACTAGAAAGAATGGAAAGGTAGAACCCATCTTTCTCTTTGTTCAAGCGTCCAGTTTGATGGGTGTTGACATTGGTACTGTAGTGACATCACTTTCCTATTTGGGGAATGTCACTGTCGCACCTTCTGTAACTGTTTCTTTGAGCAACAAACACTCGTCTACTTTCCAGCTGACTCTCCCCTTTCTCTGGCCCTCCTTCTTCCCTCTCCCTTTGATCTCTCCGTCTCCTCCCACCATCGTATTTTGCTCTTCGTCCAGCCATCCGCTTGTGAACTCTTCTACATCTCGAATCGTTAAACTTGTCTTTCTGCATCTAGTTTGCTCTGGATCTGCTCGTCCTAAAAGTAACCAACATGGCTTCTACGGCTTCTTTCAAGGTTGTTTTCTGCTTCGCTGTTTGTTATCTCGCAACCTTGAGCTCTGGAGTTGGTAAGTTGTCTGCTCGTCACCCCAACTGAGGTGTGCTGTTTTAACACCTTTCGGCAGGCATGATAGAAGACCTCAAAGCCGCCGATGAGAATCTGAATCTGAGGGATGCCATTGGTGAGATTTCATGTTGACTACCTAACTGCGAATCTTGCCGTACACTGACAGCATTATAGTCGTGAGAGCAGCCGTTCCACTGGACTTGAAATATCTGCCTCGCGAGAGTAAGTTCTTTGCCCTGGCCATACACACTACTTCTCTACTTGTGGTCTGTCCATGTGCTGACACGCCTTCATATGTAGATACTGTCATCATCACTGTCACGGAGACTGTCTGCGAATTTTCAAGCACGATCCCCTCAAAGCCTTCTACCACCATTTCGATTCCGGCAACTTCGACCGTGGCTACCACCACTTCGATGTCAACGCCCCAGAGTACTGTTTCCACGTCAGCATCTTTCACCACGTCGTCTGTAGAGCAGACGACTTCTCACCGTACCAGCTCGACCAGTAGCAGCAGTGTTTCTACTCCTGTGCCCAGCAGCAGTGGACCACCATTCGCTCCTCCTCTGTCAGATTCTGCCTCTGGTCAAGGGAAAATACGCTTTGCCTTGCTGGCATGGAGCTTGGTTATGACGAGTTTCATGAACGTCTAGGATGCCATGTTCTATCCATCCGCCTTATTGCGCTTTTAGAAGCAAAGAGACTCGTGAAGCAAACTCTGATTGAATCCCCGTCCAGAGCAACTGGTATGACTGGCTATGTTTGTAATTCTGATTTCAAGAAGCTCACGTGGGTCATGTTGACTGTGTTTTACCTGTTTTATGAGGATGCGGCAGTAATGTGCTGCTCACTTTCATTAATACTCAACAAATTTAATACTTTCCAATGAAACTCAAGGCGGCTGGTTTCCGCATGATTTGATCAAGTCTTGCACTCAAATAATATGATATTAGCATTGTGATTGTTACTACCATGGGTATCTTCTAAGGACCAAACATATATCGCCCATCTAGTCACATCATGAAGTTGTGGAGCAGTTACCTGACGGACAAATGCCATAGGACCTTCTCTCCAACGACTGTTTCACTCAGCATAAGCGCTGAGAATATGAGCGTATTTGAACACCATGCATGAAGAATAATAGAGACCCCGTTTCAAAACTGATCCAACCGCTCAGAGCTCGTAACGAAGAATTCAAAAATGAGAACAAACAGAGAGTATACATGCGATCAACGAGAAATTCGTAGATCATGCGTCGGAGACTAAACCACCGTGATGACTGCGAGACTGCCATCACGTTTCGGAATCACCCAGCGCCTCAATCTCTTTGGCCAGGGAACAGATGCGGCAGCCATCGCCAATGCGGTCTCTCAACAGCCGCGCGGTGGTCACCTTGGCGCCGACAGTGCGAGATGTGGACAGCGAAAGTTCGTTCAGGGTGAGTGTGCGAAGTTCTGGCAGTGGACGCGGGGTCTGCACTCCGGACTGGTTTCCGTCCGAGGCTGTTGAAGTTTCATCAGAATGAACGTGTGATAGATGGAAAACATGTCCACATGCGAAGCCGACGAGGATTTCCTTTTCTATACGCGAATATAATGGATGAGCACCGAGAACACAATCGTATAGCTCAAGCAAGGTAGCTTACCATTAGGGTAGAAAGGGAGGTGGCATCCTGCGCACCTCCCTGGTTGAGGCGTAGATGGGCTTGGCGACAAGGCTTTCTCTGTATCAGCGTTGCTGCTCGCTTCGTCTTTATCGCCGGTGTCGGAGATAACCTGTGTGGGTTTCTCTTCGATAATATTGAATTTAATTCTTCGTTGTTGCCCTTTTCGTAAGGTGTTCATGCCCACTGCGACTTCGCTATGAAGGACCCTGGCAGCACCCTGGCTGATACTCGCCTGGAGGTCATGTTCACGAATCATGCGAGTGAGTCCTTCCCGCAGCCCTTCGATCTCAAGTCCGCTCGGGATGCGTCTGACAAGTTTGATCGGGTCGATGGACGTGCCGGCCTCGACAAGGAGCCCGTGGATGAAACGGGGCTTGTCCATGGAGTAGTCGAGAAGATCTTCCCAGAGATCGGGGTCATCTTGGGACTTGGCAAAGGATATCGCCTGTGAGACATCCTTCAGATCGGATAGAATCAAGTTCAGTGCCTTCTTCGTCTGTCCCATCTTGGATAGGAGGTAGATGAGCTCCGACGTGAAGTGGCGGCTCTCGCAGATGGCAACCGCTGTGTCAAAGGAGTACGCGGTACTGGCTTGCAAAAACTCCATCAGCAATGGACGGTCGTAGTCGGCGAAAAGTTCCATGGCGGTATCAGCGAAATTATCAACTAGCGCCTTTCCCTCATCGGCTGCTAACTTGCTTGCTGCGTCCCGAATCCGAGCACCGTGACCTCTGCGGGGCTTCGCAGCGCTGTGTGGAAGCGATTCTCCTCGCCAGAGAGCGCGGAGGTAGAAATAAAGAAAAAGAAGCCTATTTGCGTCTCTAAGCTGTGTGACCACAACCTCAGGGCGCACAATTCCAGTATACGCTTCGCTGACGAGAAGCTTGATTGGCTCGGAGGTTATCTCTTCCAGTTCGGAAACTGGAGCCGTTTTCATCTGTTGCTTGGAAACACGAATCATGATAAATGCGGGGATATCATCTGAAAGAGCGTCCAGCAAGCGGTGCTCCTTGATCAAAGCCATGGCCGTGTCCGCATCTTGTAGTCGAATGTAACAGTGCAATGCTTCGTTATAATGACCTCCGGCCAGATAGAGCTTGGCAAGGCAATTCATTAGTATGCGCCAGTCCTCTGTTTCAGGCGCAACCGTCCTGGGATCTAACTGTTCCTCAATTGTTGTCGTTACACTGGTGACGTCAAACAGGGTGAACGGCCATGAATCCAAGAGTTCGCTGAATCTGTGCCGATCTCGGGAAACGTAATGGCCCAGAATCTCCTCATATATATCGGACGACAAGGGGGGATGAAAGTCAGCCGGAATAACAGAAGAGATTTCGTCAAATTTCTTGTTCTTCACGAAGATCCACGCCCAATGCTCCCACGCAGAAGTAGTCTGTATTGCCTTCGCGCAAACTTCAGCGGCTCGACTCCAGTTGTCTTGCTCGAGCAACTGTTTGATCCATAGCTCACCAATTCGGCGCTTCTCTTGGTCAGCGGCGGAAGCCACAGCTCGACCAGCCGTCGTGATGGACGACCTATCATCGGCGAAGAAGTCACCCAAGCTGCTTTGGGACCGTGTTGAGGCACCAGGCATATGATCCGAAATTTCCTGTGTTCCCGCAGCTTCTGGATGCTCCTCCAGAAGCTTCCATGCTTCTTCATATTTCTCATGTACATCTAACCACGCTAGACGATCGGAAAGGTCTCTTTTTGCAGCAACCACGCAGTCATACGGGCCGTGGACGAAGATCTTGGGACCAGCGCTTCCTGCAATATCCTGTACCTCTTTAGACAAAGGTTCTTCATTCGGCACCCGTTTTGAGGCCAGGATACTTGGTGCTCTGATTGAACCTTTGTCGCCGCTACTTGTTGTGCTCCGGATACTTGCACCAGAACTGAACAACCTCGCGGGGTACATCGTCGCGTCCCAGAGGCCATTTCCAAGCGTCTCCAGAGGGCCCCGTTGAGACACTGGCACTGATGATTTCCACGGCGGTATGACGCACATGTGGTAGTCTGAAGAAGTGAGGCTTTCATAACGGCTAACTGTTAGCGTATCGGCGCTGAGCTCTTCTTTGGTATCGATGTCTATAATGCGAAGCTCGGGTTCCAGGCCCCGAGGACGGCGACGTGAGCCAGGACGAAGAACGCCGTGCTTCGTCCGCTCTTCCGAAAAATCCTCTTCCTCGGCCTCAATATATGCAAGAACAGCTATATGGTTTGGTGTATATTGTGAAATGCCAGATATAATACAGTCGGTTCGCAAGCTAGAGTCAATCTGTCAGCGATCATTTCATAATTGTGACAACACAAACTCACATCGTAGACACTTGGACAGATCCTATCCGCAGGTCTTTATTGTTCTTGTTTGGTCGGTCGGGATACACATTGATGACCCAAACCGTCCCTCCCCAACCCACAACCAGCCTCTCCACATTCTCCTTCGTCGCAACTACATCCGGTGGGGCGGAAGTGTCAAGATGAGGTTCGTCGTGCTGGGACTTCACATTGTCCTCCCAGCACAGAGAATCTTCGTCAACCCATTCAGCTCGAGCCCTCCAGACACCGGCCATTTCTTCCCATCCAGGCCCATTCGGACGGTCGATGTGGCTGATTCGTTTCCAAGCAAGCTCAGAGTCCGCTGAGTCCAGATGTAGGTTCGACCGCATAATCTTGATCCCTTCTTCATTGACCCAGACGACATATTTCCCCGATAACGACCATTTGATCGTGCTGATAGCACCCTCCCCAGTGTGTAATATGGTGTCCCTGCCAGTATTGGTTCCCAACCCAATCGATCCAAGCCAGCTGGACGCTGCAGCTGCGGCGCCTCCCATTGTCGTCGAGTTCGTGCTCACACCCACTCGTCCACCAGTTGTAAGAATCAGATCGCCCGCTCGCCCGCCCGACAAGAATGTTCGATCGTTCTTGTATTCTGGTGATAGTGCGACAGCTTGGACAGGCCGACCAAAGTTCCGTAGAAGGACATCTTTGGTATCCACTAAAGAGGCAACGCATACATTACCATCTATAGAGGAAGTCGCGATGTAAATTGAATTGGAGGGTGTTGCGGGTAGAGCTGTCTGATGGCTTGATTTATTGTGACCGCGGAGGCTGGCCTTGCCAAACGAGGATCGAGTAGGAAGAGCTTGATCTTCCGTGAACGTTCTGGTGACGTTCTCTACTTTGATGCTCGGTAAGGGAGGAGGGAATGGAGAGATTGAAATGGAAGTAACGCTCGCTGAGTGTGCGTGATAAATCCGAAGCGACTGGAATAGAGGCAAGGAAAGCACATGCTGCAAGACGTCAGTTACTGCGCCCTCACAATAAGTGCTCAAGTCCGCTTACAATATTGCCATTGTGTGTCCCAATAATCTAGAGAATATTTCAGCAAAGGAAAGTGAATCGCACGCTTTTGGAATCATACCATCTTGTCGCCCGCGGCAAGGAATGAGCTCGTTGCGTCGCCATTGCGGTACACCGTACCCAGGTTCTTTGTGAGATACAGGTATTTGAGTTGAGGCTCTTCTTCGTCGTCGTCGTCATCATCTTCTTCCTCTTCAGTGTCTGCCCCTCCACTACCCTTATCCTCCTCATCCTCCTCGTCTCCATGCGCAGGTTGTTCGGGCCGAGAGCTGTGATCGGTGGTTCTTTGCTGCACGGAAGCGTCATGTACCGGGGTGTCCTGACGGGCATCCTCTGTTGGCTCAGTCGCACCAGGCGCGTCCATGGCGAGAGCCTATTTCCGTACCTGGAGCAATTCGAAAATCACCACAGGTGGGGGGAATCATGTCATGGCGACCAGTTTGTAGACCTGGGGTAACTTGGGGAGACCTGCTGACTAAGCACCTAGCTCGAAAACGCCCTCCTCCGTAGAACGCCGGTTACTCCGTAAATGGTTTGAACCACTTTCTATGCAACACTTTCCTTGCCGCGTCAAATTTTAGGGCATTGGCGTTACACAGGTGTAAAATTAATGGATTCCTG